CCTCTACTCGATAAACTACTTTTAACTTATTTAAATTAAAGAAGTAATTCCAAATTCTATTTTTTTTGGTCAAAATATTAGTGAGATTTAGAACTCAAAAACCTAGAAGCATTTCTTATTAGTCATCCCTAATGCCATCTTATTCAGTTTTTAGTGTTCTCATTATTATTGTCTTTAAAAAAAATAAGAGATTTGTTTACTATATCAATATTATACTAATGAAGCAATAACTGACACAAACATGAAATAAAATAGGACAGACTTTAATAAATTTATCCGACGGTCTTAAATAGATTCATCCAATGGTCACTAACATTCCTTTTAAATTTTCACAGTGCCTTTAAGTACGGATTATTACTAGTTAACATATGACCTAATAAAATAGGGGAGGATGTGAAATATGTAAAACAATGCTTATGGATCTGTGTGGAGCAAATAGGCATCAAAATAATCAGTTGACATAGATGCAACTCATAAATTAAATGTAACAACACATAGGTATATCAATCAAAACAAACCAATTGCAAATGGTTTGATGGAGATTGTGAGGCATCACTTATGATAAACGTGAATACACGTTAAAAGGTAAGATCTTTGACATACATTGAGATTTTCGGCAAAATTGCAAGCAAAGGGAACCTAATCATGTTATTTTTGCAACTCGATTTAGGGGTTAGTATTCTATGTTTTCGATTATTGATTAATGTTTTTTTATTTTTACCAACATATTATATGTGGAAAAAGAGTATTACCCATTTCTTTGTGCTTTATGTACTCGAACATAATCTATGATAATTTTTTGTTTAATTGCTTGTCTCATGTCAGAAAAATTCAATCTAGTATAATATGAATTTTAAATGTGAAATTAAAATAGGTTTGTCTTTAATTAGGAACATACAATGTAGGACATGTTTATTTTTGATGTGGAATACCATGTAATATGTTTCATGTGTTTTTTCCATTTCTTAGATTTGTGTAATTTCATTAAATTCTTAAAATAATGTCAATATGTTTTACACTTTTAGATGGGAAAACCTTCTACAATTGATGCATTCTTCAAGAGAAAAAATATCATGAACTCAAAAGTTAATGAATCACTTTATTCCTTCAATGCTGAGATTTCAAATGTTGAAAAATACCCCCAGAAAACTCCAAAAATCGAAAATAAGGAATTTAATATCAATTCTTTGGAGCATGATCTAGGGTTGTGTCCACAAATATGAGAATATCATGTGGATCAACGTGATAAGATTCGATGAGCTTACATCAAATCATATCATGCTGATCAACGTATAGAGTTACTTTTTATTTAGAAAATCCTAAGAAGTTGATAAATTAGTTAAAGCTCAACTTTGAGCTAGCCAAGTAAATCTTGCTTGAAGATTTGTTAGAAGTCGTCTATATATAGCAAGCAGTGCAAATTACAATGACGAAAATTTTCTTTAATATAGAAAATAAATTACAAGGAAAATCCCTAATAAGAATCCCAGATTATTGAAAAAAAGTCAAAAATAAATAATGAAAACATGGGAAAATTTTCATCCACCCCATACCGGTAGTATATAAGTTTAGGAACACCCTTTGTCTCTCAATGATGCTAACAAGATGTTTTTACATTTATATACCTAAATTTAATATATGTTTTTAATTTATAAACCTAAAATCAATATAAAGGAAATTCCATACTCAACTCCTGTAGTTTTATACATATTCACAAACACTCCTCTTTATCTGAAATTTTACGGTCAATTCCTAATGCTCCGTTTGTATGATGAGAAAGTGGGAGAATAGAAAGTTGAAAGGATAAATAAAACATCATGTTTGGTAATAAAAGAAAGTAAGAATGATGAAAAAGTGGATAGATTAACTTTCCTTCCAACTCACCAAAATCAATCCCTCCAAAATTAGAAGAAAAGTTGATGAAAAGTTAATTATTTGTGTTGAGATATATCTTATTTGTCTATATATCTTTTTATATAAATATATAGAGTAATGCTACATAGACTTACAAACTAGACTTAAAAATTAGACTTGATAATCTCAACCATTGAATAGGTAGTAGACCCAATAAATGTTGGGACTCACAGTGAAATCAATGGTTGTAATTATCAAGTCTATTTTTTAAGTTCATGTAGCATTACTCAAATATATATTATGTATACATTAATTTCATATAAAAATACAATGGTAAAATATGTATTTATATTAAAAAATTTTAAAAATAAAAAATTTAAATTTAAAAAAATATTTTTTCATCTTAACTAAGGGTAAAATTTTTCGACTCAACACGATGATACGACTCAAACTCTATATGAAAATAAACAGGTCAACTCGCAACTCGACATGACACAATTAGTTAAATGAGTTAAGTTATGTTTGCCTAATATTCGACACAAACCCATAATGAGTTAATACGAATCTGATACGACACGACTCGATTGTCAACCCTAATCTTAGCCATCACAAAAAAAAAATAGTCATTTTTATTTTTCATCCATCCAATCAAACACAAAAGAAGGAAATTATATCCTCCTTACTTTTCCATTTTTAAAGGATAAAAACTTATCTCTCCTACTTTCCATTTTTCATACTTCTATCCTCCCTACCAAACGGAGCATAATAGATTTTGATTTTAAATGGTGTTAATCGGAGATCGTGTTTTATAGAATTACCAATGTAATTTTTTTAAAATGTACTGTATATTATCCTATACAAACCAAAAGTAAAAGCAAGCACAACCATGCAATAATAAAAAATATTGATGAAGTAGCAATTAATGCAAAAATAGTTGATAACAAGCTCATGTTGATTCTAAAATAACATGCCCCCTGCAAATAAAGCAGAATGAAAAAGATCAAAGCGAAGATGCAATCGCTATCCCTTTTAAAAATGTAGTCTATCACGTCCAACCCACTATTTTTTCTTTTTTTTACGGGATATTCAGACTCGTTGATTACTCTCCCGAGCTCAGCAGTTAATTACTGTAGATTGAATTGATCTAGAGCATGTCCCTAAAGGGATAAGGTTGACTAACTATTAAGGGTTATAAGAAGGGATTAAACCTAAGAGGCTTAGGGAGACCGATACCTCTCTAAAAATTTAATGGAACAAAAGTACACTTTTTAAAATATTTGAGATAGAAGTACATCTACTAAAAAAAAGTTATAAAAATCCTTTTAGACGAGGAAGATGAAGAGAAATTTGGTTTTGGGAATCAATAGTACCAAAAAGTCATTAATGACAATTTCCAAAACCAAACCTTTCTTAAAACTTTTTGAATTTAAAAAATTTGTGATTTCAATCTTTACCGTCAAATATATATATATATATATATATATATATATATATATATATATCTATATATATATATATATATATATATATATATATATATATATACACACACACACATAATATTAAACAGTAACATGCTCAACATAAAAATAATAACATCAAACAGTAACACACACAACATAAAAAATAGTAAATATTAAACAGTAACACATTCAACAAAAAAATAGTAATATCAAAATAATAACAAGCTCAACAAAAAAAATATTAACATCAAATAATAACATACTCAACAAAATTAAATTATTGTAATAGAGTGACACCCCAAAACAGAATAAATACTCACATATGATGTCACTCTATTGCAATGAATAAATTTAAAATTAAGTTTTTTTATTGAATATGTTATTGTTTGATGTTATTATTTTATTGTTGAGCATGTTATTGTTTGATGTTACTATTTCTTTGTTGAACGTGTTACTGTTTAATATTATATATATATATATATATATATACAAAATTCAAATTCAAATAAACACAAATATAAAAAAATATCTTAAAATTCTCAGATTCTAATATTTAGATATTGAGAATATAAAAGTTATCAATTATGTATGCACTATTTATGGTAGGGAAATTATGAAATATATTTCAAAAAGAATTTGAAAATGTTATAAAATATGTACTTATTGACAACTATTTGATGTAAAAGAGGACTTAAAGAAGGATAAATTTGAAGGTGTTACTTAAAGTCAAATAAGTTCTGTAAAATGTACTCACATTCCATTATCTCTAAACCTAATATCTCTGAGCTATCAAATAATATACCTAACCACTAAACTACCTTATGGTTAATGCATCCCCTCATTATCCGAAAACGATTGATATAATCCAAGATGTGCAAATTTACAAGATCTATCCTCCCGTTGGGTGACATTTGTATTTAAATTTTTTTTGTTGGAATTCGTATTTAAATATTACATGCACTAATTTCTACATATAAAATACTAGAGATAATCCCTAAAAATAAGGTGAGTAAAAATTCAAGACTAACAAGACAGTTAAGGAAATGAGACTCTAAAAATCTCGAGAAATGAGGAAACATGACATTATCTCTAAGAAAGAAAACATGATACAGTCCTGGCAAAAAAAAATAGCTTCGACAATTAAAGACTATCTCCTATAAATACCGAAGACAGGGCCACAGAAGAAGGATGCTCCATCAGCACAACAATGACACACAACCTCTCGTATATTTGGCCTATTTTCTTGTAATTTTCCTCTAGCTTGTAACTCATCACTCTAGTGATTTTTCTTTTCATTTAATGCTTAGTACAATATTTTGCATGTTTACCTTTGCCAATCTTTTTGTTACATTCAATTTAGGTACTTTTCTATATTTCAGTTCAATACATTGCTATTAGAAATTAATTAAGTCTTTGATCTCTAAGGCAGTGAAAAGAACTTAAAGATAATCTTACGTTTCGTTATAATTACCTGAACAATCATGCCTCTCAATAACCATGCCAGATCTTATTTATGGAAAAGCTTTTGAAGTTACAGATACTTCCCCAGCTGGCTTCTCGGAACAAGGTGCAATGTAGGAAACACATCACAGTTTCAGAACACTCACAAAGCACAAAAACAGACTTTTAAGTTTTTCAAAACCGATAAACGCAGTATTACCACCCAGTGAAAGCACATTATTATTAAGCTTTCCACGAGGACAATGGCGGAGTGTCTGAAGTCTTCCAAGTAGACATACCAGACTCATATCTATCACCCTTGACTGCATCAACTGAAGCAATGGATTCGAGCTCAGCCATCTCTTCCGGTGTAAGCTTTACAGACAAAGCTCCAATGTTCTGGTTGAGGTTCTCAATCTTAGTTGTACCCGGAATGGGACACACGTCATTCCCTTGGTGCTGAACCCAAGCCAATGCTAGCTGTGATGGCGTACATCCCTTCTTTGCTGCTATTTCACAAACCCGCTCATACAGGTTTGCATTATGTTCAAGATTGCCAGGTTGGAACCTTGGTTGATTCTAAAAAAAAATATATATATATATATATATATATATATATATATATATATATATATATATATATATATATATAAAATCAGAGTCAGAATTATGGGTTCACAATACAAAAGGACCCAAATTTGTCAACATCAATAGTCAAAAGTAAATGTGCTTCAGCATGCATCAATAGCACAATAATTTTGATTTCCAGTCACAGTGCAAACTAAAAAGAAACTTCTTTTTCTTCAATGGAGCAACTGATCTTGGAGGAGAAATAGATTTCTAAACCGAGAAAGCCACAGCATCACAACATGATCTTGATGTTGTGATACCTAAGTGTATAAATTGGTATATGATAAGTAGTTTCTGGATAGACCATCTACTTCAATGGGAAGGGAATGCATAACAATTTAAATGAGAATGCTTTGAAATCAAAAATATAATTCATTCCCTCATTTTCTCTAAATATATCATTCGTCAAGAAAACCAACCAATCTTCTTGCAGTGGAAACACCCGACTAAGATGAGTTGAATAGAATGAATTCTTGGATGAATTTTCCATAACATTAAATAAAGGCTTCAAAGACCCAGCAAAGGTGAATTTCATAACTATTTTCAGACAGAAGACAATTAATTAAATAAAAAAAAGAGCTAATGGTAACAAGTAGTGCTGCATGAGAAAATGGAGAAGGCTTAACAGACATACTAGAGCTAGCTGAATCTCTTATATAGTTATTTTTAAGTACCATACTGGCTAGGGGCTACAAAATTTCACAAAAAACATTTTCACAGTTGTTCTTTGGAAATTACGTGTCCCCCATTACTTAAGTCAGTAGAATGGTCCACGAGTGAGCTCTGTTGATAACTCGAGTGTCTCGACCCTCACGTGACTGGCCAGTGTTGTCAGCTTGGCGTTCATCCCTTGTTTTTTTTCCAAGGATCCTGTGGATTGATCTAGATCTTGTGAACCTTTTCTCTGGGTCTCACAATTTGAGTTAGACGCTTTCCAGTGGGACTTTCATGTGGCTGCACAACAGTTTGCTGTAAGTTGCTGCTTATGCAGGACAAGCTCTGCCCTGGGCCGAGGTCATGAACACTTATCGCGTATGTTACAGTCCTCTTTCTTTTTACAGGGAATAAATATAATTTATTTCTTAGAAGTCGTATCACAGCTTAAATAAAAGTTTTTGTGCTCAAGGAAGAGAGGCTGATTCTATATAACACAAGGCCTTACCCCAAAAGCTAGATGTGTTGCTATAGGATCCACTTTAATCTGAGTGGATCCTTTGCCCCTTGGACCTAGTGCTTGGTAGTTAGCACGAAGAGATTCTAAGGTTTATGTGAAAAGAACCTATCTCCCACATTGAAAGTCAGGCCACCTAAAATTGGTTTATATTGCAAGGGACATCTCTACGCATTGCCAATTGGTTTTGGATTGAATGATCCAATGGTATCAAAGTTGAAGCTTGGGCGGTTAGTGAGTCAAGTCTCAAATCGTTTAAATTTTCTGATACGTTAGCTCGTCTATATTGGTTTGGTTTGTTGGCCGATATGCGAGTCCAGTTCACAAGTAAAATAAAGGTGTAAAACGAGTTTATGTCCCAAAACTAATGCATAGGGTCACCCAAGGTTCTTTTATTTTGAGTTAGATGCTCTAAGCAATCAAATATGGCATATGTACATCTTGGGGAGTCATAGTTCCACCAACTGCCCAAAATAAAAAGAAGGAAGAAGGCAACACCAGAGAATAGGTTCTTCGTATAGTATCCAGCCCATATGTTGCATATCACAAATTCGATGCTCAGCGTGAAGCATAAATCATTAGAAAGTGTTGGAGATATAGCAGCAGCCTAGTTTATTAGAGCTAATTAAGTTTTCTCTTTTTACCTTTTTATCTTTATTGTAACTTTCATTGGCTATATATACAGGGCTCTACACTTAGTTTGTATCCCTTTTCACTCACATTCATCTCAAGTTGGTATCAGAGCCACCAACTCTAACCCTAACTCTAACCCTAGCCTCCACCAAACCTCCACTTCATTAAACCAGCAACTCCACGGACCAGTACACATTCAGCCCATCATCCACCGACTGCCGACTGCCTCCACTCCATAAAACCAGACTGACTACGTCCACTCCATTAAACCAGCAGCTCCACCGACAGTCCATAACAAACAAGCAGCCCACTGCCCAGTCCCAAGTCCCAAGTCCACAGCCCACTGCCCCACCAACAGAACCCAGCCAAAAACACCACCAATTGCCCACCTCAACCCACCGACTGCCTACCAAAATCACCAACAGCCAACAAAACCGACTGCCTCCAACCAATATACATACAGCACTAACAATATTCTTGGATCAATATAACTCATAACCCATAACCCAGCCCACCTCAATTCACTGACCCACTGCCCAGTCCAACCCAAACTAAACCCAAACCAGGCCTAAACCAGCCCACTCATCAACCAGCTATCGGGTCACGTTTATCTTTTCGTCACAGTGTCGCTATTTTTTTGCACCACCTTTTTTTCTAGAGTTGCAATATCTAGGCCTTTTTGAGGAGACATCAGATCCTCTTCTTCGTTGATCTGGTTTTGATGCAGTAGATCACTTATATATTTTCTGGATTTCTAGGCACCATGACTTAATTATTTGGGAGCTTTCTGGACCTTCTTTATCTGTCGCTATTGTTCGACTTCAGGTATGTTGTTCTCCCTTATTTTATCCCTCTATTTATCTTAGAGTTATTTTTTTTCTATCACGGGTGCCCACGTATTATTGTTGTCATGACTACTACTGAGGGACTAGAGACTTCTACCGTAGAGACCTCTACTGTTGAGGCTTCTATTAGTACTTCTACAGGGCATGTACCACCTGTTTCTCCTACTTTTATGTTTGACCAGTACGCAATACCTACTGGCACAGTTACTTTACCGACAATACCGGGAATGATCTCTCAGAAGGTTACGGCACAATTGTTGAATAATTGTAACTTTGCTGAGTGGTCACGCTCATTCCAGCTTTTCTTGGGCCGTGTAGGGAAGCTTGGTTGGCTGACGGGATCTCACCCAAAGCCAACTGATGCCGACCCTGGAAATTCTGCGTGATTCTCTATGAACTGCGCCATTCTTGATTGATTATTTGGTTCGATGGAGCCATCTGTTTGCAGGATACACCAGTTTCATAGCTCTGTTCCGAAATTATGAAGCGTATTGTCAAAGATGTATTCTCAATCAGGACGGGGAATTCGTGTTTATGAGCTTTCTCAGGAGCTCTCATATGCTCAGCTGAGAGATATGACTGTTCAAGATTATTATGGCTATTTGACCTAGCGCTGGCTTGAGTATGGGACTCTACGTCCTCTTACTGCTATTCCTAGAATAAAGGCCGAGAGAGCAGCATTCTTGCATACTCGAGAGTAGGAGGATAGGATTCACAAGTTCCTTATAGGGCTTCGTGATGAGTTTGAGGGACCTCGTTCCCAAATCTTATCGATGTTGACGCTTCCTTTTCTTTATGAGGTATATGCGATGATTGTGCAGCATGAACGCCGCGTCCATATTGCATCACTTTCAGTTGCGGCTTTAACTCCTCCAGCTGATCATATGACCCTTGCAGTAGCTGCAGGGTCTCGTTCAGGATCCTCAATCAGGGGTGGGCAGCGCTCAGACTAGCGCCGTCAGGGTGCCCTAGATCTGTGCAGTCAGGGGAATTCTTGTTAGTGTGATTATTGTGGCCGACTAAGACATCTCAAGGCTGCTTGCTAGAAGCTCCATCCAGAGCTTAAGTCGCCTCCTCGTGGCCGTACTGCTGCTATTGCTGAGGTACCATTATCTACTACCGCTGCTCCTCCTTGGCAGAGTGATATGTATGTTATCACTTCCTGATTGAATATACTTATGTCTGCTCTAACTTCTCAGAGTCCGACTACTACTACAGCCACCACTACAAGTATATCTCGTACCTTTCATCCTTGTGCCAGTCCGTCTACCCTTTGGATGCTAGACTCGGGTGTGAATAGTCACATGACAGGTGAGGCCCATCACTTCATCACTTTTGACGAGCAATTACATACAAAGGTTCAGTTAGCAGATGGAACACATGCTCCTATTGTTAATAGGGGTACAGTCCGCCTCCCAGATGGCTTTACATTACGTTCGGTATTTCATGCGCCAAAGTTGACTATGAATCTATTATCTGTACACCAGTTAGCCAGAGATTTTTACTGTACAGTTGTGTTCTTATCTGATTTGTATTATTTGTAGGACCTGAGTACCAGGAGGATTATTATCAGGGGACATGAGAGACATGAACAGTATTTTCTAGGCGATCCGCCTCCAGTTTCACCAGTTCCTCCACCTACATCACCTGCAACTGCTTTATCTTTATCTGTTTTTTAGCTTGCATACTAGTATTTTATCTAGAATTGTCGTTATGATTTTTCGTCACAAACTGTTCAGTTGTGGCATGACCGTTTTGGACATACAAATTTTAAATATTTATGTATGTTGTTTCCTGCTTGGAGCAATGCTTGGGTTGGTGGTAAACTTGACTGTGTTATCTGTTCCCTATCAAAACATGTTAGGACCAGTTATATTCCTCGCATGCACCAGTCACCCAAGCCATTTGACCTAATACACTTTGATATTTGAGGACCTTCTCCTGTTACTGCTCTATCATGTGCCCGATACTGTGTGATATTTATAGATGGCCATACCCGTTATGCTTGAGTCTACCTTTTGCATAGGAAGATTAATGTATTCCCTATAATCACTCAGTTTCTATAGATGATTAAGACACAATTTGATGTCGTTGTTCGTGCTCTTCGTTCAGATAATGTCAAGGAATATGTGCCTGATGTCTTAGTGTCTCACCTTTCTTCTCAAGGTATCCTTCAGCAACTCACTTGTCCATATACTCCTGAGCAAAATGACGTTGCTGAAATGAAAAATAGGAATCTGATAGGGATGGTACGTTATATGCTTAGAGGGATGGGGGTGCCAAAATTTTATTGATATTTTGTTGTTTTGACTTCTACCTTTCTGTGCAATCATACGCCAAGTCGTGTTCTTCAGCATAGGGCTCCTTTACAGGTTTTATTTCCTGAGCAAACACTTTTTTTGGTCCCCCCTCGTGTTTTTGGATGCACATAATTTATTTAGGATCGGTCTCCTACTCATCACAAGCTTGATGATAAAGCAATTCGTTGTGTCTTTGTGGGCTATTGCAATCAGTCTAAGGGGTATCGGTATTATAATCCTCTTAGACGTCGTATGTATCACAGTCTAGATGTTACCTTTCTTGAGCATATTCCTTATTTTTCCTCCAGTCCTGTGTCTGCCCCTCCAGTTGATGATACTTTCTTTGATTTTTCATTACCCCCAGAGCCAGAGCCATTGATCACTATCACTACAAAGTCATCGGTCTCTCCTCCTCTAGAGCCACTCATCCCTGGTACCGAGTCACCGGCCTCTCTTCCTTTGCAGGTTTATGTTTGTTGCCCTCGCTCTCATCCCTCTGCTGATGTCCCCTCTACCTTAGGTGATGCAAGTACTACTTCTCAGTTTGTTGAGCATATTGATGCACCTGTTGTTAGTACTGATGAGATTGTAGGTACTGAGCCAGTTATTTTACTTGATGAGACATTGTTAATGGAGGATGGTAATTTAGAGCGTCGTTATCCACGACGTGATCATCGTCCAGTTGTTTGTTATGATTGGACTGCCAAGATTTTATACCCGATCTCTGCTTATGTTTCTTATGGTGATCTGTCTCCTACATTTCAGGCTTATAGTATGGCCTTATTGGATACGTCAGTTCCTCGCTCTGTTTTAGAGGCTATGCAGGAGTCCCAGTGGGTTCTTGCCATGCACACAGAGATGGACGCTCTTCAGTGTAATCATACGTGGGATCTTGTCTCTTTACCTTCAGGGGTGAAGCCTGTTGGCTGTCACTGGGTTTACACCCTGAAGTTTCTTGCGGATGGTACTATTGATTATCACAAGGCTAGGCTTGTGGCGAAAGGCTTTACTCAGGTACCAAGTCGTGATTTTGGTGCTACCTTTGCCCCCGTGGCAAAATTGACTACTGTTCGACTAATTATTTCTTTGGCTGCGGAGTACTCTTGGCCTCTTAATCAGTTGGATGTGAAGAATGCATTTCTTCACAGTGATCTGGATGATATTATTTATATGGATGCACCACCGGACTTTCGTGGTGAGAGGGAGTATGCTGGAAAAGTATGTTGACTGCGTAATTCTCTTTATGGACCGAAACAGTCACCACGAATCTGGTTCTCTCGCTTTAGTAATGTAGTTGTACGTTTAGGTTCACCAGATGTCATTCTGATCATACATGCTTCATTCGACGGAATATTTCTGAACAGTGTGTCATCCTTTTAGTATATGTTAATGATATTATTATTACTGGAGATGATGCTTCTGAGACTGCGCAAGTCAAGGTAGACCTTGGGAAGGCCTTCAATGTGAAGAACCTTGGATTTTTGCGATACTTTTTTGGGATTGAGGTTGCCCATAGCAGCAAAGGTATTATTCTTTCTCAGAAAAAGTATGTTTTGGATCTTCTCTCAGACACTGGGATACTGGGGTGCAAACCGGCATCATCACCCATGATTTCAAACCTGAAACTTACTGCTGAAGGTGAGGAGTTGAGTGATCCGTCTGTCTATCAGAGGTTGGTAGATAGACTTATCTACCTAGCCAACACTAAGTCAGACATTTTATTTGCTGTCAGCCAAGTTAGTCAGTTCATCCACAAACCATGTCAGCCTCATCTTGATGCAGTTTATCATATTCTTCGGTACCTCAAGTCTTGTCCTGAACTTGGATTATTTTATGCATCAGGATCTCAGACTGGTTCTCTAGCCTGTTATTCAAATTCAAATTATGGGGGAACATGTGACGGTCGATTTACTACAGGCTTTTGTGCTTTTTGAAGAACTCATCTTATCTCTTGGAAGAGTAAGAAGCAGTCAGTTGTCTCTTGCTCGTCAGCAGAGGTAGAGTATCGGGCACTGACACTTGGCACATGTGAGATTATCTGACTACAATCGATTTTTGGCAAGTAGAGATTTTTAGTGACTTCTTCACCTACATTATATTATGATAATCGATCTGTTATTCAACTTGCTTCTGACTCTGTATTACACGACAGGACGAAACATATAGAGATCGATGTTCACTTTCTTCGGGAGAAGGTTAGCAGTGGTATTGTCACTTCCATCGTTTGTGAGGATCAGGAATCAAGTTGCAGATGTTTTTACCAAACCTGTCACTCTATTCATTCTTCGGGACTCAGTTGTCAAGCTTGGCTTAGTTGGCATTTTTGCGCCTAGCTTGAGGAGGAGTGTTGGAGATACAACAACAGCCTAGTTTATTAGGGCTAATTAAGTTTTTTTTTTTTACCTTTTTATCCTTATTGTAACTTTCATTAGCTATATATACATGGCTCTACACTTAGTTTGTATCCCTTTTCACTCACATTCATCTCAAGTGAAAGCTTCTAACGTCTTAAATAAACAATATTTTCAAAAAAAACAAGCCACATGTAAAATGTAACAAATAGGGAGCAACCACAGAATGAGATAAAGATACAAATTACAAAAACTTGTTGTTCACCGAATGTTGAGAGACATGGGAGCATCATTAAGTAGGAACAAAGAACATATCCCAAAAGGGACAAGAGAAAAAAGGTGTGGACGTGGAAAGCTTTTGTGCTTCTTAATGTTCATCAAGTAGTAAGTCTTAGGCAAACAAGAGAATAAAATGCTAAATTTGTATAATGATAATATCAAACAAATGCAGTACTAAAGAAAATAGGATGTGCCAAAAGCTATGTTACTATTCTGAAATCAAGAGACTTGTGGTGTATAGGACTAACCTTCCGGAAGTCCCCATTTGACAAGCTATCCAATAGCTTTGGGCCCGACGAGAAGAATCCGCGTCCCAGAGGACTGTATGCAACAATCCCAATTCCAAGCTCCCTGAAATTTTTTAACAGGGATAGAATTAGATCCTGGGATTTCTTTTAACCTCCTCCTCAAATAAGTTAGCAGAATAAATGCCTAACCTGCAAGTAGGAATAATTTCTTCCTCCACGTCTCTTGACCACAGAGACCACTCCAGCTGAACAGCTGTTATTGGATGATGAGCATGTGCTCTTCTAATGGTAGAGGCTGAGGCCTCAGATAGACCTATGTATTTTATTTTCCCCTCTTCAACAAGTTTCTTGAGTTCTCCCATCTTGCAAAAGATATTTTAAAAGGAATTAGAAGAATGTTAGTAGTAAGCTTGGTCAAAGAAGGAAAACCCTTATTAAGGATAGAGATGTTCAGAACACTCATAAACTTATTTCTGGAAAAAGTACACATGCACTTGTTGCACAACTTCGAGCATTGCATAAGCACTCCCACTCCATAATGCAAAAATGTTTAATGCTCATGGGAAGTATAATATTAAGTGTTTATAGTGTAGTAGCGTGTGTTCATAGTAACACACATCCAAAATGTCCCAGAAAGGACTTGAATACTTCAGCTTCCCCTTTGGGCATAATAAGACAAGCCACTCAAGCTTACTGTGGCTGCACTGGGAGTTACAATCTGTATAATAAAACTGAGAATATATACATAAAAGCCGTATGCTCTTTTGCTGAATTTATTTCCTCGCATTTGCATTATATAAGAAAGAAGTGTTTGGCCAAAAATCAGAGCTACTAAAACTTAACAGTGGTGCAAAAAATAGGGAACTTTACCATTTGTAAGTGTTAGTTAATTATACATTTACGGTATTTGTAAATTTGTTAATCGTTTTACCATGGTTTCAAAATTGCACTTTTTAAAAATGTGTTTAGACACGCTTTCATTAAAAAATGGGACTATAAAACACATTCTCACTATGAGAAGAAAAATTATTCAAAAATATCCTTTTATGATGTGTCATTTAAACACACTTTTAGAGAAAAGCATGTTTAAGAAACACACTTACTGTGAACACAGGCTAACTGCCATAAACAATCCTAATGCACTTTTTACTTCTTTCATAACAATTGGCAGCTCCAAGAATCTCGTGCGGAAAATATGCATGACATGTGGCAACTTGCATAACATGTTCAGCATTCTTTAAGAACCTGTGTGGCAGTAGCAAAGTGGTGGTTACTAAGCATGCACCAAAGCTTGGGAATAAGACCTCCAAAAACCAACTGGCCTCCATGCTAATGGAGAAGACTAAGAAATCAAAGATTTGTCGAGACCCAGCACACAAGCAATCACTGAGATCAGAACCAAAGGAGTTAAAAGTAAGGGAACCGAAGTCAGACCCAACGACGAAAGATATGAAGCCAAATTCTACTTCTTTGAAGGCCACATCTAGACACTACCACTCAATTGGCCTCTTTCAGATGGTGATTCAAATTTGTATGTCAGATTCACTACTTCTGGCTTATTTATTCTTTGCCCAGATCAGTATTATTCTTGTATAAAGAATGGCTTGTACCTACTGGCTTCATGGGGTGTTGGACATGCAAAGCTTTCTTAAAAGAATAAGGAGCAGAGAGAGAGAGATGCCAGAGAATGAGGAGGAGACAACAGGTATTTGAAACTATAAAAGTCTTACAAGGACATAATGACTTGGCATGAATTTGTTTGGTTGAATACCACATATTAAAAATTAATACTATAGGAACCTAATTTGAGAACCTAATGAGGGACTTAATTTAATGGAGCTATTGGATTAGTTGTGAATTTCAATCTTCAATGGAGTTCACTTCTTAAAGATAACCTGTCCAAGAGAAACACATTTTTTTACTAAAGGCGTATTTAAAAAGACATGCTTTTAAAAGGATCGTTTTGTGGTTGCTCACGGGAAAGCGTGTTCTATAATCATGTTTTTTGATAAAAGCGTGTTTATTAAATATGCTTTTAAAAGTGTCGCATTTTTTTATAAATAAGTTTGAAACAACAAAACAACGGTAAAAACATTTAAATAAAAAATATGGTAAATGTATAATTAACTCTTGTAAGTCTCCTTGAGAAAGATATTTAGAGATATCTAGGAAAAACAAGATAATAAAAACAATGAAAGACCCGATACAGAGTTTTGCCTTCTATTCAGGTAAGATTGATGAAATATGGATGACCATCAAATGGGAGATGAACATAGTCACATTAATAATATAATTGTGTTTTTGGTCAAAAATAGTTGTACATAATTCTTGCCATTAGAAAAAAGAGGCAAAAAATAGCAAATTTACCGTAACTTCAATGGGCAATCGAGTGTCAATGCGATGCTGGTAATACAAGTCAATGCAATCGATGTCAAGCCGCTTCAAGCTGGCCTCACAAGCAGCCCGCACATATGCCGGATCACCACAAATATCTCTGTTCCCGTCTGTGAACCTGATCCCAAATTTCGTCGCTAATTCCACTTTCTCTCTCACCCCTCCCTTCAAAGCCTACACATAGAAAACCCATCAATATTTCACACAAACATAAACATAAACACAAAGCGGGTGTGCATAGATCTGAGTTGTGGGGAGTACCTTTCCGACAAGGATTTCGTTAGTGTGAGGCCCATATATGTCGGAGGTGTCAAGGAAGGTGATACCACTGTCGACGGCATGGTGGATGAGTTTGATCATGTCGGCATCGGGCTTGGGAGGGCCGTAGAAAGCGGACATGCCCATGCAACCTAGTCCCTGAGCTGACACCTCAAGACCTTGTTTACCCAATTTGATCCTCGGCACTTTTGTTGCCATTTTTACTTCTTCAAATTTCTTCAACTGTGAGTGAGCAGTGAGTGTGCTTAATTTATAGAGTGATGCTCACCTAATCCATGAGCATCATGGATAGTTCGTCAACGGTATCGGGTCGAGCTGACGTAATGGCTTATGTAACTGGCGATCGATCAAATGTTGTCCTGATTGATCTCATTTAACTATTAAAAGACAAATATGTCCTGCAATAGTCCAACCCACTACAGCCAACTATGTTGGGTTTTTTTTCTTTTCGTTTGCTAAAATTTTTACCTATCTATGTTAGTCTTATTCCCCCTTTCCTTCCCAGATAAAACCAGAGTTTTTTTGCCAACTCCTAAACTGCGAGATGGATCATCTTTAGAACGATAGATTGTAGCAGCTGACACCATCTGTTGAAATTAGTTGGTTATTGTTGTTAACCACATCTCAATCGTCGTGATTCTTGAACACTAATATCGAGAATCTAATGATTTAATCGAGTGAAACAAACCCCTAACCATTATTATTTACCTCAAAATCAAACACTGAAATCTATGTTGTAGTTGATTTTTATTGTGGGTTATTTTCACTATCTTGATGGCTGGTGGAGCTGTTGCACCAACTAAGAAGAGGAAAGTTATTGATAAAGGCAAGAGTTCCAACGTTGATAAAAGTTTCTACAATGATGCCGCTAAAAAAAAGGTATAATTTATGCTTTTGTCATCGTCTGTTGTTAATGAAGCGTGGTGTTTCATTGGACAATTTAGGAGCAACAGATTGCCCTAGATTTTTTGATGATTGATATTGGAATTCCTTGTTTGATGTTGAAAAGGATGAAAAAACATATGATAAACTTGTGAGGTTAATTTATGCAAACATCCACGACTTTCATAAAGATCGTCACACCTTTAAAAGTCTCAAGTTAGTCTTGGTAGTACTGGGTATGGGGGACACATCATTCCCTTGGTGCTGTAACCAGGCCAATGCTAACTGCGATGTGATGCATCCCTTCCTTGTTGCTATGGCATTAACCTGCTCGTACAACTTTTTGTTATGCTCGACATTCTCTGGTTGGAACCTTGGTAGAGTCTACAAAAGATAAAAAGAAGCTTCAATTAGAACTACAAAGCCACAAAGAACCATGCACATAAACGATATTGGTCATTATTATAGATGCTTCAGCAAATTTCAGTTGCAGAAGACCACTGGTTCCTCATTGTGATTATACAAGTTATTTAGGAGGGCAATGTGTTTCTTGACGAAGAAAACCATTAAATATGATTGTTACATTAGCGTGCCGTCTTCTCAATGGATATGCATTACAAGTAATTGGAGCATAAACCATCCTCTTCGACTGAAAGGGAGCTCATTCAAATGTGTTAAGACACAGAAAACCTGAATACTTCCCTTCATTAGGGAAACCATAGATATTTGTATCACAAAGATTCCCTTGATTTGGAAACCCTACGTCAGAGTAAGCAGTTTGAGGCCAATTCTTAATCTGGTATTCCTAAATCCTAATACCAAACAGAGCCCTGAGGCTGAGGAGAAACCTATACGAGATCAATTATGTAGAAGTTGAGTTCCATACAAGTAGAGATGAAACAAGAAAAAACTTTAGGTACCAAAAAGGGGAATTGCTGGACAAAAAAGATATAGTCCTATATTAATTTTGGTGATACCAAGAATAAAATCGCCACATAAAGATAGACCCACGATGTAGCAAAGCAACCACTAAGTTGAGAAGAGGCTAAACTTATTCTCTAGCACGAGGTCAAGACAGCTCAGATCTGTTAGCAATTCAATCCGGATCAGCAGTTTTCCAAATGAGCTCGAAGCTAGTCATACCACAAGAGGAAGAGGGATCAAGAGTAAAGCCCGGCACCGGATCCCATCCAAAGATAAGATCACCAATGCCATGTCAATTGCTTCTAAAATACCACGTCATGCTTAGAAGAATATAGTCTCTAACGGCCAAATATTTTCTCCAATATCCTAACAAACTAAGGGACCACTCAATTAGATAGTATAAATAGGCAAACCCTTGCCTTGTAATAAGGGGATGAACTCTTGCACACAAAAAAGCTATAGCCGTCTTCCCCAAGCAATACAAGTGACAGGAGCAAGATACTCTATTAGAGTGGATTAGCCAAGATTTTCAGTTGGTGAACCACTGAACCACGTGTGTTTGTCGATTCCTATGATTGATTTACTTGTTCCCCTATTATGTCCCATATAATCTACATATTCATCTTAACAGAGAGCTCTTCAGCCTCCCTCTCATACACTCAAATTCCCAGCACCATCAAATTTAATTGTATTTATGAAATTCAAATGCAATAAAAATTCCATCTTCAAAGAAGTTTTCATGGAAAATATTAGCATATGACCTGTTGTTTTCATCCGGATCTCAGGACAAAAGACAAATCATGTCTGCTAGGGAGTGGTGGTTTAACCACCTTCTCAAGTACTTGAGATAGTTGTGAATGAAAAGGGATACTCAAATTAAGAGTAGAACCCCGTATATATATCCAAAAATAATACAGAGTGACTTAAACATCCTTGTAGTTTAGGCAAAATATAAAAATCATAGTAAGGGTAAAAAAGGGAAAAGAAATCCTAATAAACCTAGACTATCTATACTCCAACACTCCCCTCAAGCTGGGCGCAAAAATGTCAACTAAGCCAAGCTTGACAACGGAGTCCCGAAGAATAGACAGAGTGACAGGTTTGGTAAAAACATCCGCAACTTGATCACTGGTCCCCACAAACGATGGAGTAACAAGACCACTGCTGACCTTCTCCCGAAGAAAGTGAACATCGATCTCTATATGCTTCGTTCTCTCATGTAGTACAGAGTCAGAAGCGAGCTGAATAGCAGATTGATTATCACAATATAATGTGGATGGAGAGGTCACTGAAAAACCCAACTCGTCAAGAATCGATCGTAGCCAGATAATCTCACATGTGCCAAGTGCCAGTGCCCGATACTCTGCCTCTGCGGACGAGCGGGAGACAACTGCCTGCTTCTTGCTCTTCCAAGAGATAAGATGAGTCCCTCGAAAAGCACAGAAACCCGTAGTAGATCGACCATCACATGCTCCCCCATAATCTGAATCTGAATAACAGGCTAGAGAACCGGTCTGAGATCCTGATGCATAAAACAACCCAAGTCCAGGACAAGACTTGAGGTACCGAAGAATATGATAAACTGCATCAAGATGAGGCTGACATGGCCTATGCATGAACTGACTAACTCGGCTGACTGCAAATGAAATGTCTGGCCTAGTATTGGCTAAGTAGATAAGTCTACCTACCAATCTTTGATAAACTGTCGGATCTTTCAACTCCTCACCTTCAGCAGTAAGCTTCAGGTTTGGAATCATAGGTGATGATGCCGGTTTGCACCCCAACATCCCAGTGTCTGAAAGAAGATCCAAAACATACTTTCTCTGAGAAAGAACAATACCTCTGCTTCTACGGGCAACCTCAATCCCAAGAAAGTATCGCAGAAATCCAAGATCCTTCACATCGAAGGCCTTCCCAAGGTCTATCTTGACCTGCGCAGTCCCAGAAACATCATCACCAGTAATAATAATATCATCAACATATACCAGAAGGATGACACACTGTCCAGAAGTATTCCGTCGAATAAAGCAGGTATGATCAGAATGACACCTGGTGAACCCCAATCGTATGACTACATCACTGAAGCGAGAGAACCAGGCTCGTGGCGACTGTTTCAGTCCATAAAGAGACTTACGCAGTCGACATACCTTTCCAGCATACTCCCCCTCACCACGAAAGCCCGGTGGTGCATCCATATAAATAATCTCGTCCAGATCACCGTGAAGAAACGCATTCTTCACATCTAATTGATGAAGAGGCCAAGAGTACTCCGCAGCCAGAGAAATAATTAACCGAACAGTAGTCAATTTTGCCACGGGGGCAAATGTAGCACCAAAATCACGACCTGGTACCTGAGTAAAGCCCTTCGCCACAAGTCTAGCCTTGTAACGATCAATAGTACCATCCGCAAGAAACTTCAGGGTGTAAACCCAGCGACAGCCAACAGGCTTCACCCCTGAAGGTAAGGAGACAAGATCCCATGTATGATTACGCTGAAGAGCGTCCATCTCTGTCTGCATGGCAAGAACCCACTGGGGCTCCCGCATAGCTTCCGAAATAGAGCGAGGAACCAACGTATCTGATAAGGCCATAGTATAAGCTCGAAATGTGGGAGACAGATTACCATAAGAAACATAAGCAGAGATCGGATATAAAATCTTGGCGGTCCAACCATATCGATCAACTGGACGGCGATCACGCCTTGGATAACGACGCCCTAAATCATCATCCTCTACTGATAATATCTTATCAGGTAAAGTAACTGGCTCAGCACCTGTAATCTCATCAGTACTAACAACAGGTGCATCAATATGCTCAACAAACTGAGAAGTATTACCTGCATCGCCTGAGGTAGAGGGGATATCAGCAGGGTGATGAGAGCGAGGACAACGAGCATACACCTGCAAAGGAAGAGAGACTGGTAACTCTGTACTGACAGGGATGAGTGACTCCTTTGGAGGAAAAACGGATGACCCTGTAGGGATAGTGATCAATGACTCTGACTCTTGTGGTAATGGAAAATCAAAGGGAGTATCATCAACTGGAGGGGCAGACAAAGGACTGAAAGGAAAATAAGGAATATGCTCAAGAAAGGTAACATCTAGACTGTGATACATACGACGCCTAATAGGATCATAACATCGATACCCCTTAGATTGATGACAATAGCCCACAAAGATACAACGAATCGCTTTATCATCAAGTTTATGACGAGTAGGAGACCGATCCTGAACAAAACATGTGCATCCAAAAACACGAGGGGGACCGGAAAAAGTGTCCGCTCAGGAAATAAGACCTGTAAGGGAGCCTTATGCTGAAGAACACGACTCGGCGTACGATTGCACAGAAAGGTAGAAGTCAAAACAGCAAAATGCCAATAAGATTTTGGTACCCTCATGCCTCTAAGCAGACAACGTACCATCCCTATCAAACTCCTATTTTTCCTCTCAGCAACACCATTTTGCTCAGGAGTATATGGACAAGTGAGTTGCTGAAGGATACCCTGAGAAGAAAGGTGAGACACTAAAGCATCAGACACATATTCTTTGGCATTATCCGAACGAAGAGCACGAACAATGACATCGAATTGTGTCTTAATCATCTGTAAAAACTGAGTGATTATAGGGAGCACATCAGACTTCCTATGCAAAAGGTAGACCCAAGTACAACGGGTATGATCATCTATAAATGTCACATAATATCTGGCACCTGACAGAGCAGTAACGGGAGAGGGTCCCCAAATATCAGAGTGTATTAGGTCAAATGGCTTGGGTGACTGGTGCATGCGAGGAATATAATTGGCCCTAACATGTTTTGATAGGGAACAGATAACGCAATCAAGTTTACCACCAACACAAGCATTACTCAAAGCAGGAAACAACATACATAAATATTTAAAATTTGTATGTCCAAAACGGTCATGCCACAATTGAACAGTTTGTGACGAAAAATCATAACGACAACTACTAGGTAAAATACTAGCATGCAAGCTAGGAACAGAAAAAGACAAAGCAGGTGCAGGTGAAGGAATTGGTGAAACTGGAGATGGATTGCCAAGATAATACAGTCCATCTTTCTCATGTCCCTTGATAATAATCCTCCTGGTACTCAGGTCCTGCAAATAACACGAATCAGATAAGAATACAACCGCACAGTGAAAATCTCTGGCTAACTGATGTACAGATAATAGATTCATGGCCAACTTTGGCGCATGAAAAACCGAATGTAATGTAAGGCCATCTGGGAGACGGACTGTACCCCTACTAACAATAGGGGCATGTGTTCCATCTGCTAACTGAACCTGTGTATGTAATGGCTCGTCAAAAGTGGTGAAGTGATGGGCCTCACCTGTCATGTGACCATTCGCACCCGAGTCCAACATCCAAAGGGGAGATGAACTGGCACAAGCGTGAAAGGCACGAGATATACCTGTAGTGGTGACAGCAGCAGTAGACAGACTCTGAGAAGTCAGAGCAGACATAAGTATATCTAATCGGGAAGTGATAGCTTCCATATCACTTTGCCAAGGAGGAGCAGTAGCAGGAGTGGCGGTAGTGGGCGGTGGTACCTCAGCAATAGCAACAGTACGGCTGCGAGAAGGTGGCTTAAGCTCTGGATGGAGCTTCCAGCAAGTAGCCCTGAGATGTCCTGGTCGGCCACAATAATCACATTGACGGGAATCCCCCGTCTGCGCTGATCTGGGGCGCCCTGACGGCG